AGTTTGAAGTGTGCTTAGGATACCCAAAACTCCATTAAGTGTGTGTCTTGTCTGTCTCCTTGTCTCTGTCTCCACGTGCTACCCATCTCCTCTGAGCCTGTTTAGCTTGTGACTTCTGTCTGTGGGTCCACGTGACAGTCATCACAAGGACTCCTCCCCAGCCTGCTTTTCTGTTGTGCTCTTTATGCTGGCTGTAATGAGTCTCTGCTCACCACCCGCTCCGTGTTCTTCTGGATCATTTTGTACAATGTGCTTTGCTTGATGAGCTATAGTTTAATCCAGACAGACAATAAAAACCTTACGGGTTTTCTCATTCCTGTCATTCTGGGGTGATCATTTTTATTACTGCAAACACATGTTCTCAAACTACACATTACAGAAAATTTGGTATGGCTTGGGAGTTCCACATATTTCTCTTCTTTCTTTCTTTCTTTGCTTTTCTTTTTTTTTTTTTTTTTTTTTTTTTTTTTTTTTTTGTACCAGGGATCAAACTCTGGACCTTGCGCTTGCAAGGCAGGTGCTAGAACCACTGAGCTAAATCCCCAGCCCTCTCTTATTTCTTATATAGGCACTGCCATGGTATAGTTTTAATGTCAAGAAAAAAGGCATAAAGAGTAATTTTCTAAGTGCATTAAAACATTTTGATATTTGGCCTTTTCTTGACAAATCATCTGAATAATTCTCTCAAAGTTATCCTCAGATAAGCCATCAGAAAGTTAAGCATTTTGACAAAACTGTTTTGACACTCCCCTTATCCCCATCCTCTATGGAATGTATTTCACCAAGTAAAATTTTGTATTTTAATCCTGGGCTTTGGGTCATGAGTAACAATAGAAATGGGGCTTGTTCCTTCACTTATAGGAATGCTGGGAACAACTACCATCCAAAACAGAGAGAAAAAGAATTATCTGCATCTAAGATAATTATGATTTTGTAGTACCTAATTTTCTTTCTAAATGATTGGAGTAAAGGAGAATACTTCAAAGAAAAATAACAAGAAAAACCATCTGATCTCTCATTTATTTTTTTACATGTCTGATAACACAACTGGCGCTTTGCTGTTGTTGTTTTTTATTCATAAAGAGAAGTGGCATTTGGATAACCTGTCATTCATTACACTGGTCTCTTTCATGGTGAGGCTCTGCTTTTAACAGACAGAGCACATTTTCTTTGTTTGAAACTGTTAGAATGTTAATGATCACATTTAATAGGTGGAATTCAGTCTTGGATAACCTAGTGTTCCCGTTTACACCAAGTACATTCCCGATGTTTGGACCAACTGGGCTAAGTTGGTGATAGAAAAATCAATGAGCAGAATTTGAAGAGATGCTAATGAATATCACGTATATACTGTTTTTTGCCATAGCCTATATAATATTTTGAGTCAATATTTTGGGTTGTGGTCAAATTATATTTGAGATGCTTAATAAGGCAACAAGCTAGATTACTATAAGAAAAACCTATGTGGTAAAATCAAAACTAATTTTTTTCACCTGAAACAAAACTTGAGAATTCTTCTGTGGGCAAATGGAAATGAAACAATAAAATCCAGAATCAGTGGGTTAAAAAAAGGCATGTCGAAGATAATTAATAATCAAGACTTTTAAAGTTATGCAAGTGATGTTTCTTCATAAGAGAGAATGTAAAAGATACTGATAAGCATGAACATTTTATGCTGGGCTATGAGTCATATATGTGTGTGTGTGTGTGTGTGTGTGTGTGTGTGTGTTTGTTATTTTTGTCGTAAATTTTATCTTATAAAATATGTGTTATTAGTGTTCTGCCATAACAGATGTCACAGATTAGGTGACTCTAACAACAAAATTATTTCTTATAGCTTTAGAGGCAACAACGCAATTCAAAATCAAGGTGTTAGGAGGTTCGATCTCTCATTGGCCTACGAATTGCTATCTTTTTGTTGTGTTCTCACATTATTTTTTTTTTTTCTGTGCATTTTTCCATGGAAGCCTTAATCTTTTCTTATAAGGACACCAGTCATCTTGAGTTAAGGGTCACCTGTATCACCACATTTTAACTACCTCTTTAAAAGTACCATACTACCTCTTGAAGAAGTCACATTTTGAGCTTCTAGGGACCTCACTATATGAATTAGGGAGGCATGCAACTCAGCCCAAGAAAATCAACCAATACACATTTATTTCCAAGTTTCTTTTCTACTTATCACCATTATCAGAAGGGTCTTTCCACAACAAAGATAAATTTTATCTAAAACAATGTGTTTAATGAATGTACATTACTGCATGTATTTATGTAAAAATGTGAATTGAACCAGTTACCCTTGGGTCTACTATAAATGGTTTTAATTTCTTTTTCTGCTCTGAACATTGCTTCGTTGAATATCCTTATAATAAGTTATTTTGCATGGGCCTGATTATGTTCATAGCTTAATTTTCTTGAAGTGGAGCTGCTTAGGAAATAGAATATTTCAACAGTGTTGGGTAAGCTTTATGCGATTACCACAGTACTGTATCTGTTTAAAATTATTCAGTAGTATAGAAGAGTTCACAGCTCTTCTTCCAAACTTCACCAACATTAAGCATTACCATTTAAAAATCAATACTTTGACAAAAGATGCTTTTGTGTTTGACTTTTGTGTCTATATTTCTTTGATTACTACTTTGGGTAAGCACTTTGTTCATAAGTTTATTATTTCTGTTTGTTTTGTTAATTATCTATGTCTTCTGTCCATTTAAAAGTAATTTTCAATTACTTCATTTTTTTTTTTTTTACATTTGACTCTTTCATCTAGAATTTATTTTGTTTTGCTTAATTTTGGTCCCAACATGTTATACTGAATAATCTTTCCTGTAGTAACTGTTACATGGTTTTAGGCATTAATTTTTTTTCTACTTTTGCTCATATATTTTAATAGTTTCATGTTTTAACTTATACATACTTATATTAGTATAAATACATGAATATTCATCTCTTTAAATACTATCTTTTTTTTCTCATTGAGTTTATTGGTACTTTTTAGGTATACAGTACAGTACATTTACATTCATCATTGCAATCTTGTACTTTTACATGACAGATCTTGGTTCTCATTTTTTACCCTTACCCCTGCCCTCCCTTCATCCCCTCCTCCCTTCCATATTTACAAATACTTTATTTCCATTTTTTCATTTTCTCATATTTTTTTCTTTTCCCTTATTTCCTTTCCCCTACACTTCCTACTTGCCCTACGCCTTTTGTCCTTTTCTTCCTATTTCATATTGTCAATTATACCATTAGGATCTTATGTACAATTATAGTTTTTCACACCAGATTTAAATACTATCTTATTTATCGTTATATATTTAATAATCTACATGAATTTGAGAATCATTGTATTAGTTTTCCAAACAACACAATTCAAATTAATTTTCTTTATATTAAAAATTCATGTAGATATAGTATTGGATTCAGGTTATTAGTGCTCAGTTTACAATTCTTTAAAATCTTGCCCTATCTTTTATATGCCAGTAGATGAGATGCTTATATAATTATCAACATGACCCTAAATAGTCAAGCAAAATATTATTGGCACTTAGTTGATTAAACATAAATTTTCAATTTCTACAGAGGACTTTAATTTTATTCTTTTCCTCTACATTACATTTAAATTTATTTTACTTATCCTTTTTTGTTCTCCTTTTCTGCCAAGTCAGATTAGCCCAAATGAAGAGCATAGAATGTCCAATATTAATGTAGTATACCTTCTTCCTAGGCAAATTATTTGATGATAACAGAATTTCCAGTAGGACTGCTTGCTTTTAAAGATAAACCACTGTATTGATTTCATGAGTGTGCTTTTGGAAGTCAGACACTCCTCTCAGCATATTCAATGTTCTAAATTTTATAAATGTGACCTTAATGCAAAACATTTTCACCAGGCTCTTTCCCTTCAATTTCTTTCCATCTATACTCTGGCCAATATTTGTGTATCTTGTTTGGTAAGAGCTTCCCCGACCTCTTGTTCCCCTAAGGAATGTATTTCAGGGTGCCTCTTCGTGTTTATAGCACCCTATTTCACTAATGCATTGTGTTTTTTTTTCAGCTTTAATTAAGTTTATTGGTACATTTTAGGGATACAGTACAGTTACATTTATTATTGGGATCTTGTACCTCTCCATGACAAGTCTTGATTCTCATTTTTCCCCTTACCTCTGCCCTCCCTTCACCCCCTCCTCCCCTCCCCATCTACAAACACTTTATTTGAATGCATTGTTTTTAAGAAGCAATTGCTATAGTAGACTGTGACCACGTGACTATTGAGGCTGTATCTAAGTTGTTTGTCATTAGAAACCTAACACCCACAGAATATGTGGCAATAAACAAATAAATGCTGAGGGGCTGAGAATATGGTAATATTTTGTGTTAACAGCTCTCTCCTTCTTTGTGTATGGCTTGTAGGTTCTGGAAATTCTCTTGTATGAGAGTCTTTAGTTGTATTGTTGTGGCTGCCTCAATGTCCTGAAAATCAATTTTAAAATTTTACTTCTCATGGTCATTTTGACTTTGGGGAAGAACCAAAAGTTGCACAATGCCCGATTCGAAGAATGAAGTGGATGAGGACCCACCACAATGTTTTTATGAGCCCGCCTTTCCATTGAATGTCACTTGGCAGCAGCATTCACTGTATTTTTTATCACACCTCCTTCAGATACTCAGGAAATAAGACTTCCGGAACTACTTCAGAAAGTTTCAAGAATAGTGGGATAAGTGTATTCGGTTAGGGGGAGTGTTTTGAGGAGGATTAATGTCAATGTGTCTTTACATTTAAAAAATTAAAACATTGACTATATATTTCAATCACACCTCATATGTAGCTTTGCTGTATTTCAGCAGTAATCACCCCTTTTATTCCCACTTTTCCCGTCCTGCAGTCATTGAGGCATTTTTATGAAAAATCTTTGAGTTTATCTGAGGCCAGATGTCCATGCTGGTATATTGGGAATGCCCCTAAATTTTGTTTATGCTCTTTTTCATTACTGTAGATTTATGCATATGTCTTTGAAAACATCAAGTCTGTCCAACTGGAAGCCCTGCTCTTGTCCTTGCTGAGTATTGTGGTTCTTGTTCTTGTTAAAGAGCTGAATGAACAATTTAAAAGGAAAATTAAAGTTGTCCTTCCTGTCGATTTAGTTTTGGTAAGTATGAAATCAACATTTAGCTTTCTGTTGTACTGAGCCTGCCAGTTGGAGTAATCCACAGATGCTTACTACTATGTCTACAGCAACCCACAGATACTTCTGTGTCTCATTAAAGAAGGGCTAATTTGCGTGGCTATACATTAATGTAAGAACAGGAAACATTTTGAGTCAATAATTTAAAAAAGGAGGTACACGTGTTTTCAATTTATGCAGCATTTCTCATATGCTTTTAATTTTTTATATAAATAAGAGAATATAAAGCCTAAGATCTTATAAGGAGACATTTCTAAGGGTGATACTCAAGATTTCTGGCATGATCCTATATGAAGCAGTAAAATGTCATACCAGGTCCTATTGATATGACACCTTTGTTATATTCATAGAACTATTTTCAATTAGCAAATGTCCATGAGTAACTGGTAGCTTTTTCATATTTTTGTTACTGACCTAATTTTGCCTTATCAAAGTGAGGCTCATGATTTTCATTGGTCAGGATGGTTCTTTAAAATATTTTTTTTGTTGTATTTGGAATATCAATACATTATATCTTGATCCTAAGGCTTATGCTATTAAAATCTGTGTTTTGAAATTTTAAGAGCCTTTAATAGGAACTCTTAAAGTATTCAACTGAAAATGAAATGTTAGTACAATCATAGTCTACTAACTTATTTATCATTAATTGGCTTTAGTTTTTTAATGGTTTTTGTGTTATATATGTATATTGCAAAGAATGTCTAAATTTCATCCATAAAATAAATCCCCTTTATAATATTAAATAGTATAGATCTATGTACATTTATTAAAGCTGCAACATTGAAATCTGCTTCGGAAGTATATGACACATTTCTTTAGCTCTAATATAGAAGGCCTTTCCCAATGGCTAGCCAATGCATGATGCCATTTTCCTGGCAGTGGGTTAAGATACATATAACATATGTAGTCTGTGTGTGTATATTTCAAATATGTTATAAAATCACAGAGTACTATAGTTATTAGTTTTCACAGTTACAACTCTGAAGTATATCATCTCATTTTAAGGTCCTGCAGGTATTTAAAAATATCTTTTTATCTTGAGAAGTTATATAAGTTTCATAAAACCAAACACTGAAAGCCAACTTAGGGAAGAAGGCCTTTGAGCTATTAATAAAACAATTGCTATTCTCTGCAACATAAGTAGGAATTACTCTTAAAATAAGAGGTATTCTTTATACAGTCTGATAATTGCAAGACCCGAGGCAAAACATCAATACAAATCCATATACTTCAAAGTTATAGATCAAAATATCAAATAAAATAGCTTCTGGTTTTCTACACTGATTATTGTACCTAAGTAATGACCTGGAAAACCAAGTTAGGTAGAGAATTCTCCTGCTCTTTTGAGCTCCATCAGAATGTGAAGTTTAAAGGGTGCCAACTTATAGGTTTGTTCCTTCCCATCCCCAACTCCAGCTCTATCCTACTGTGTTGGTCACCTTTCCTATTGCTACTCAAAATATCAAGTACCTGAAATTTAAAGGAGAGGTTTAATTTGACTTGTGGTTTCGGAGGAGTCAGGCCATGGTCAGCTAGCTCTGAGACAGGAACATCATGGCAGAAGGATGTGGTGCAGCAAAGTTGCTCAGTTCCTAGAGTTTGGGAAGCAGAGTAGGGGAACAGTGCTAGAGAGGAAGGGGCCAGGCACAAGATATATATCCCAAGGTCACTCCTTCAGGACACACGCAGGCACACCCAGAAGTGTTCTTTACTAATCTCCTAATAGCTCCCAGTCCAATCAATTGACATTTAAGAACTATCACACCCACACCCACAAAGGGATTCATACACCTACATGTGGATGTCCCTATCCCAGGTTTAAACTCCAAACACATTGTCACTCTACCACCGCAGCTACCCCCTTGGTCTTCTTTGGGACATAAGGAAGATGACTTACAAGCAGATTGGGGGCCATTTGTGCAGAAATGATAGAATCTTGTGTAGTCAGGATCAGCAAGATTGGAGCAAGTTTGAGTTGGGTACATCCTCCTGCCCCTACAAAGCTTCTATTTAGGGGGATGTTTACATTTAGATATCTGATCCCACCTACGGCAGGATCCTCTATTGCCAGGGATTAGGGACAGTACAAGCTCTCTCTCTCTCTCTCTCTGTCTCTCTCTCTTATATATATATGATACTGAAATAATGCTAGAAGGGACCAATGACTTAACTGATAAAGAATTTTTAGTTATGTTAAAGAAGCATGTCTTAAGACACTGTCTAAAAGATTAATTCAGTGACTTAGAAAAATATTATTATTATATCTAACGTTTATGCAGTTTAACAGTATAACCTGGTAATTTGTTATTTTTATTCTCTTTTTTAAACTCCTGAGGGATGTTTTACTTATAAAGCCCATTTGATATTTTGGAAAATACTACACATTCAATTAGACAGCAAATGTACAGAAAGAAAAGCACTACAAAATGATATTAGTGGGCATTATTATTAAAATTTTCTTATTTTGCTAGTCTGATTTTGTTACTCTTTTTGTCTGGCTGTGTATATAATACATTTGCACTTTAATTAAATAATTGATTTATCTCTTTTAATAGATAAGCCATTCCAAACTGACACCATAACCATATGAAATTACTAGTAACTATTAAAATTATCAGAAGAAAGAGAAGAAAATGAGAAAATGGATAAAAAAAACTATGGTTATATGGCTTGTAAAACAAAAGCTGAACTGGCTGTTACAAATTTTAATGATGATTGTGGGTACAGGCAGAGAAACTGTGACCCAGAATAGCCCATCAGTAACAGAGTGACACAGTAGCTAAAATTCCAAAGCGTTGTTTCAAAAGCACTTGGCTCAATAACTTGCGATGCTTTACTTCAATAAATAATTAAAGATCAAAGTTAAAAAATATTCAAGGAGACTGTAAATCATAATTAATTAGCATCATAGTTTAGGAGTATTAATGCAATATCTCAAATTCTTAAGGGCCTGTTGTCATGAAGAGAAAGTGTCTGGTCTTAGGAAGCATTCCTTTATGTCACAAATGACAAGTATTTAGATTGGATTTGAAATCTTCACTCACACACAAGCATACACTGCCCCCATATTCTGTATTTTGTTTACCCTCAAAACTGGATAAAAGTAGGTTAATGTAATGAAGATACTGCCTGATATCATCTAAATTTGAGATGATAAATTATTAAAATAGTTTAGAAATGTTTGAAAGGTCAGTAATAAATTGTTTTTCTTTTTTCAAATGAAATCACACAGATTATTGCAGCATCATTTGCTTGTTATTGTACCAATATGGAAAACACATATGGATTAGAAGTAGTTGGAAATATTCCAAAAGGGTAATGTAGTCTTTTTAAATATATTACTTGTTTGTTTGTTTTTAATGGAGGATGAGACTGGGAGTAGGTGGAATATGGATTTGTTTCTTTCTGGCATGTATGAGACAAAATTCTAATTAATTTCTATTATAAAATGATTGAAAAAAATACTACTTTTGTAGGAAAATAGTAATTTACCAGGGACAGCTCCATGTGTCTAACTCAGTAATGGAGAATTCACCTATTTCTAAGCAAATTGATTACTATTTTATGTGGTATTGCTTTATGTAAAAGATTTGGACAAAGAAATTTACAAAGATATTACTTGAAAAAATTGAGGATATTGAATTTGCAAATTAGAAACGTTGTCTGGAATTTGATCACCTCTGTTCCCCCCACATATGACTGTTTTCTTTTACTTAACTCAGGATAAAGGTATCATCTGAAATAACAATCCCACAGGCTGTGCTTAATTACCAGAGGGATGACAGAGCAGAGAAGGCATGGCCCCTCTCCTGCACACGGCCTTGCTTTGGACCCTACGGGTCTTTAACAAAAGAGGAAATGTTCATCCTAATTGGGAAAGAAGTCATTCCAAATACAAGCAGAAAGAAAATGAAGGCAAATCATGGAGAAAGGAGTTTTATTTTTATGGACTAAGTATACCAATACAGATAAATTTTGATCAAAGTTAACATTTTTTGGATTCCCTAAAGTTTTATTGTCCAACCCCCAGTTTTGGCTTTTAACAACATTAAACTAGAAAAAACAGTAGAAATGTTCTTAGGAATTAAAAAGCTAATAATAAAAATTTGTCTTTACTAGGCCAGGTAGATATATGTTAATGAAGACTGTTTATATCAACTTGAATTTTTCTTTATTGTTTCATCTCAAGTCAGTTTTTTCTTTGGTCAAATTGTATTAATTAAGCATACTCAGTTTTCATGAAGCAAAAGTTCTACTTTGAAATAGTTTAGGGCATGTAATCATACAAAACAGTTTGTCTTGGGGATAAATATAGTAAGTGGGTATATTAGCTTTCCCATAGCTGTGGCACAATGCCAAATACCCACAATTTAAAGAGAAGTTTAATTCGGCTCACGGTTTCAGAGATTCAGTCCATGGTCAGCTGGCTCTAAAACAGAAACTTCATTGTGGAAGAGATTGACAGAGCAGAGAGGCTTAGTTCATAGAGGCTGGGAAGCAAGCTAAGGGGGAACAGCACCTAAGAGGAAAGAACGAGGGACCCACACCTAGTACCTAAGGTCACACCTCTATGATCCGTGCAGACATAAACCCTCTGTGATACTACCAGAAGCGTGCTCTACTGATCCCCAGGCAGATCTCAAAACCAATCAGGTTGATCATGACAATGGGTAAAAATAATCTCCTTCATCTTCTTTAATTCTCCTTTATTTTGAATAATTTTTCTGGACCCATCCTCATAAAGAATCACAAAAATGAATATGGCTTTCCTGAGTTTGAATCCTAGCTCAGCCAGCCATTCCCTTTTTGATTTTAGATGAGTTACCTAATCTTTCTTAAAATGTTTTCTCCTACATACTGTGGTTATAGTGGTGCTTTTTGAGAGAATTAAATGAAATAGCTAAAAAGAAAGGTCTAGCATTATACTTAACACTAGACATTAAATCAGTATCAACACACTTTTTTTCTTTTTTTTTTTCTACTTTTGCCAGAGGGAATTTTTTGTTTTTGTTTTTGGTAAATCTCCCAAAGAATCATTAGGATACACAAATGATGATTTTTAGGCTTAAAGTGGTTTTCAGAGGACAATAATAAAATGGCTGGACATTATTTGTGAAACATTTTAAACAGTTCTTGAGACAAAGAAACAGCTAAGTGTGGTGCTATAGTTTGCAACAGAGTTGGAATCTTTCTCCATATTTTTTTAAACATATGTAAGCCATGGTTAAGTATACTGTGAAAGGATTGAGTTAAAATTGCAATTGAGATAATGAACTCAAAGGCAAATTTAGAGATTAACTCAAGAATTGTAGCTCACAGTAAAGTAATGTTTGTATACAGTACTTTCGTATCCAAGGGAGGAAATATATCTCAAATATCTACCGAATAAATGTTTGGAAATGTTCGAATGAGAGAATGTTCCAGATTTGCTTTCATTTCCCATACAGGAAATTTTTGTCAAGTCAGAGTTTCTTCAGAGTAACCTGAATTCTTCAATATGAATACCAGTTAGAGTGTGGAGCTGTCCCTGGGGTGTTTCTTATAGTTTTGCTTTCCTGCTAAATTATGTTGAAAACACGGGGCTTCTCAAGGGGAGGCTGCTGGGTTTCTTCTGAGTGGTTAGTTTACGTATTCTCTGTAAACTTCGGAATCATTATCACAGTTGAACGTATCACCGGTTGTTAGGGAAAAGACACGAAGGTTTATACTTCTGTATGTCCTTCTCTCTCACAGAATCCCTCCACCGCGAGCTCCCCCAATGAACCTCCTCTCTGCAGTAGTCACTGAAGCTTTTGGAGTCGCTCTTGTAGGCTATGTGGCCTCACTGGCTCTTGCTCAAGGATCTGCTAAAAAATTCAGATATTCAGTGGATGACAACCAGGTGCCACAGCCCCTTTTCACTCCTGTCCTACCATTGTCCTGTGTACTCTCAGATGCTGGAGAGTTGAACCTTTGAAAAATATGACTTCCCTAACTGTATGGCAATACATGGGTTCATACTACTTTTTTAAAATTTAATTTTTAAAAAATTTATTATGATTATTTTTTGGTACCAGGGATCAAACTTGGGTCCCTGTGCTTGCAAGGCAGGCTGCGGAACCACTGAGCCAAACCCCCAGCCCTACATTTTTTTTTTTTAAAGACAGGTATTCTTTGGTTTGTATCTAGGAGAGAATGAATTCAAATGTATTTATCATTGGATGCTAACTTCAAAAATTTATAAAGTTCAGATTAGACTAGTTTTACTTTTCTTAGTAAGGTATTGCAGATGTGAAGATTTAGTCTTAGAATACATAAGGGTGTAGATGGTATTGCTTTTCTCCCTGAAATATTTTTCCAGTGTCTTGCTTCAAGCCTCATACAGGTCCAAAGAGAAGCTGCAGTATAATAGTTATGAATGCATAACTACCTGTGTGCAAATCTAACTCTAATACGATGTCCTCTGTGCCCCAGTTTCCTCATCTGTGAAAAGTAGATTTGTTCATTCTGAGTATTACATTGAGCCATATTATGTGCCAGACAAGGGCCTAGGTACAAAGATACACTGATAAGCGACACAGACCAAATCCTTCTTCCTCTTGAAACTTCTCAGTGGCTTCCCATCATACTCAATAAAAGCCTCGTTATATTGGTTTATAAGACTCTCCATGTCTAGCCACTATCTCATTTGCTGTTTGGCTTTATTTCCCTTTTGTATTCTGTACCACACAGCTTTTCCTTGAATTCACTAGTCTCAATTCTGGCTTAGGGCATTTGTACTTCTTCTGTTTTCCTGGAAATATGTTCTCCCAGATATCTGCTTATATCCTTCATTCATATTTTTCAGGAATGCCTTTGATAATCCAAATTGCACATTCCCAATTTCCCCTGTTGTCTTCTGCTTTACTTAGCATATTTATTTTGTTTATTGTCCTCATTCCAACATCAGACCCACAGATAGGTAAGAGTGGGGAGATTTGTTTGTGCTTACTGACAGCAGAAGCAGGCAAACTGTTAGGCAACCTTTGTGATAGTTCAGGTGAGAGGCGATGCCTTAGACCAGAGTGTAGCAAGTGGGTTTTGAACCAGATGTGGATGCCATCTGGGCAAAGGCAGGGTAGAGGTCAAGAATAAGTTTGAAGCTCTGGGCCTAAGCAACTGGAACATGAGGTGGGGTGGTAGAGATCTGTAGCTTGGGCTGATAAAGTGCAAAAACCTGTTAGTCTCCAAGTCCAGATACTAAAAAGTAGCATCTATATGACTGCATAATTCTGAATTTCAGAGAAGTGGTCCAAGCTGCACATATGAATTTGAGAGTTCTTGATACATACTTGGGTAGCTACAGTGTAGATAGAGAAGAAAAATGGTCCAATATTTGCAATTGGTTAGATAAGAAAGAATCACAAAGGAAATTGGGAAGAAGTGGCCCGTGAGGTTAGGGGGACACCATAAGAGTATGAGGTCATAGAAGCTAAGTGAAGGAGACTTTAAGGAGGAAAAAAAATAGCAACTGTGTCAAATGACTCTTTTAGATCAGATAGGATAAGAACTAGCCATTGGATATAGCATTGTGGAGATCATTAGTGGAGTGCTTGGAATAAAAGTGTAATTGTAGTGAATTAGAAGATAGGGAAGTTGGCCACGACAGCATAAATACATAGTGTTTCTTTATAAGAGCACTACAAGTATTGGAAAAGTATAGTGTTTAGAATAGTTTCTTGCTTTATTACAAACACTCAGTAAATGCTTACTATTTTCCTTTTAATTATTAAATCTCAACTGGTGAGGAGAACATAAATTAAAACATCAGCAAGCATCATTCTTTCACAAGTTGTACGTGTGGAATCTGAAAGTCCACTGTGATTAAGAAGTGATATATTCTCCTATCATCAATCTTGCAGGAATTTTTGGCCCATGGCCTCAGCAATGTGATTCCTTCATTTTTCTTCTGTATCCCAAGTGCGGCTGCCATGGGAAGGACTGCTGGCCTGTACAGCACGGGAGCAAAGACACAGGTAACTCAGCAGGGACAGATGGACAGCAGAGGCTCCACTCTCATCCTTGCAGAGTAGGAAGAGTGAAGTTCTCTGTAAAGCCCTGAAAATATTTCCATTTATGCACTGTTTTCTAAATGGTTTCCCTGACATCTTTTTCTCTCTTTTTCTTTCTCTCTTGGACCCCTCCCTTTTCTCTCCTCCTTCCTACAAACGGTCCTTCCAGAGACTGAGTGATTGTCAGTGACCTAGTCAATGAACAAACCTAATAATTCTGTACAAATGGCAGCTTTATTTTTAGCCACCTTTGAAACCAAAGCTCCCTCTAGTGGTGCCTCTGATTTTTTCCATTAATGATAAGTCAAGGTGTTTTACTCACTTCCTTGCAATAAAATGGAATCAATTATATACAAGACCAATCCTTGTTCCTGAAATTTCTTCCTAGAGAGATCTACAAGTGTGTAAATGTGGCATCGATGTCTGTGAACATTTTAGGATAAAGAACCATTTCTTACGTTTTCTTAGGAACCCAAATTAGTTTGATAGTTAATGAAAGCCTACCCTACTCCAGACATTACACTGAGCATTGATGATTTGATGACATGACAGTGAACATGTTCCTGTTGATGGCCATGGCCATGATGGTGGAAAAAACATTGAGTTGTTTGTGAGGCATTTTATGTCACACTTTTTATATAAACAAACCCATTTAATCCTTTTAAAAACCCTACGAAAGAGGTATCATAGCCTCTCCAACTTTGCATCAGTGGAATACAAAACCTGACACCCACAGCTTAAAGGAGGTAACGGTTTCAGTCCCTGGTAAGCTAGCTCCAAGGCAGAAATAGCATGGTTGGAGGCCCTGAGAGGAGGAAAGCTACTCGTGCCATGTGTCCAAGAAGCAGAAAGAGAAGGAGGAGTTGTGGAGGGAAATACAGCTGTTTGGGTCACACCCTCAGTGATCAACCTCCCCCAGTCAGATCTCATCCCCCAAGAGGAAGTCACTGTAGCACCCCAATAATCTGATCACCTTCCCAAACCCCACCTCTGAACACATGAGGAATTGGGGGGAATTCCAATGTAAACCAGATCATATAAGTACCATTCTCAGTTTCTGCATGAGAACGTTAGAGTTGAAGTAATTTATCCAAGTACAAGAGCTACTAAATGGTAGACCAGAATTTGAATACAGATAGATTTACTCCAATCCTTGACATCTTACCCACTGTTCCATGTAAGAAAATTCTTGTGTATCTTATCATGAGAAATGAACAATCATAGTTACTCATTATTAAAACATTTCTTGTTTGAAATAAAAATGGAATGAGAATTTCTAAAGCCTGCTATGTGCTTATTCAAGCATACACTAGGGGTACATCCTCTATTAACTTCTTTTTTTAGCTTGTACTAGCATAAATTTGAAAAGCATATGATTTGGGTCTTTAGAAGCAAATGGCAAGGAAATATATGTAAATAGATACTAAAATGGGGCACAAATAATTAAATATACCATAAAACAAAAGGGAAGCAGCAACCAGTTTTGAATGCATTATCATTTGACAAATAATCAGCTAAAACATGGAATCCATATGGAAACTTTGTTTATATGCCATCAAGTAATTTGACAGTTTTTTATACTTAGTGACTTCGGGTATAGGTTCATCATGCATTGGCATAAACTTCTTTTCCTTTAGAATTATTTATTTTCTTAGTGCATATTAGAAATACAGAATAATAAAGTTCATTTTGGTGAAGTGATACAAGCATAAAGCATGTTTTTATTATTTTGGCCCCATCACCTATTTCTCCTTCTCTCCCTCATCTTCTTTTTGTCATTTTTTTTCTTTTATTGAGTTTATTGGTACATTTTAGGTGTACAGTACAGTTACATTCATTGATGGGACCTTGTACCTCTACATGACAGGTCTTGGTTCTCATTTTTTCCCCTTGTCCCTGCCCTCCCTTCACCCGCCCCTCCCCTCCCCATTTACAAACACTTTATTTCCATTTTTTCATTTTGTCATATTTTTTCTTTTCCCTTATTACCTTTCCCCTACCCTTCCCATTTTCCCTACTCCTTTAGCCCTTTTCTTCCTATTTCATGTGGTCAGTTATCTCATTAGGATCTTATGTACTATTATAGTTTTTCACATGAGAGAAACTATTCTGTATTTACACACGTGTGACTTATTTATTTCACTTAGGAGTATAACCTCAATATGTATCCATTTTCCTATGAATGAATCTAATTTGTCATTCTTTATGGCTAAGTAGTATTTCATTTTACAGAAAAATCACATCTTCTTTATCCAGTTTCCAACTGATTGGCAAATGGGCTGTTTCCAAATTTTAGCTATTACAAACTGTGTCACTATAAACATAGGTGCACATATATCACTGTGGTAAGATTCCTTTAATTCTTTTGGAAAGATACCCAGCAAAGGGATGGCTGGGTCAAATGGAACCACTAATCCTAGGTCTTTGAGGTATCTCCACATTGATTTCCGTAGTGGTTGCACCAGTCTGCACTCCCACCAACAATGGAGCAGGGTTCCTTTTTCCCCACAACCCCGTCAACATTTGTTATTGTGTGATTTCTTGATAGCAGCCATTCTTTGTGGGGTGAGGTGGATTCTCAGTGTTGTTTTCATCTGCATCTCTTGAATGACCAGTGATGTGGAACATTTTTTCTATATATTTACTTGCTGCTTTTACTTCTTTGTCTGAGAAATGTCTGTTCGTCTTCTTTATCTCCAGTAGTCTATTTTCTGCTTTCTTGCCTTCTCTATTTTTTTTTTTTGATTACTCAAATAAGAAAAAACATGTGGTACTTAACTTTCCGAGTCTGGCTTATTTCACTTAACATGATGGTTCCCGATTCCATCCATATTCCTGCACATAGCATGAGTTCCTTATTTACAGCTGTGTAATATTGTATATATTATTGTATATGTTATTGAATATATTATTGTATATATTTGCCACTTTTTCTTTAGTTGACTGACATCCAGGTTGTTTCTACAGCTTAGCTATTGTGAACTGTGCCACAAAAACGGGTATGAAAGTATGACTATAGTATGCTGTCTTTAATTCTTTGGAGAATATTTTGAAAACTGACTGTGTCGATTACTTTTCTCTCATCGCTGAGACAAAATACCTGGCACCAAAAGTTAGAGGGGAAGGGGTTTATTTAGCCTACATTTCATAGAGGTTTCAGTCCATAATCGGCTGGCTCCAAGGCTGGGATGGCAAACAAGCATCACAGAAGAGAAACAACATGGCATGCACAAGGTAGAAAGGTAGCAAAGGAAATTTAACCATGTCTTCCTTCCCTTTTATGTTATCCAGACTACTTAGGGTGGGTGTCACTCACACCCTTAATCCTAGTGCCCCTGAGCCTAGCATTGCATCATGAATCAGTTCCAGCTTCACACACTCTAGATCAAGTCTATGACCACATGAGGCTTTGCGGGGACATCCAGACCCAAACCATAATAGTGACATAGCTGGATCAAACAGTATCTCTGCTTTTAGTTTTTTGAGGAATCTCCACAACTGATTTCTGTCACTTGTAGTAGTTTACATTTCTTCCAATAGTGTAGAAAGATTTCTTATCCCTCCCCAGCATCCTCACCAATGTTATTATTTATTCTCCTTCTTCCTTGGCAGTACTGGGGGTTGAACCCAGGACCTTTGCATTACAATACATTCAAGTCTTTCCATATATATATATATATAAAATATGTGTGTATGTGTATATATATGTATATATCTGTATATACACATATATACAGAGTCTTCCTAAGTTACAAAGTTGCCCAGCTGGACTCAAACATGCAGTCCTCCTGCCTCAGTCTTCAAGAGTGGGTGTCACCATGCACCACAGATTCTTGATGTTAGCTACTCTGACTGGGGTGAAACGAAATTTCAATACAGTTTTGATTTGCATTGCCCCAATTGCTAAAGATGGTGGACATTTTTCCTTATACTTATTGGCAATTTGTACTTCTTTTTAGAAGTGTCTAGTCTATTCTAATTTGCCCATTTGCTGAATAGTGTTACTTTGTTTTAGTTCCTTATATATATTAATCTTTTGTCAGAAGAGTAGCTAGCAAAGATTTACTTTCATTGTGTGGGTTGTTTCTTTGTGGTGCTGTGTCATTTGCTGGGCAGCTTTTTAATTTGCTGTGGTCCCATTTGGTGATTTTTGCTGTTATTTCATATGCTATTGGCATCTTATTCAGGAATTTTTTGCCCACACTTGTGGGTTAAAGTATTTGCCCTATGTCTACTTCTAGTAGTTTCAAAGTTTTGGTCTTATATATATATATACATAGATCTATCATTTTGAAATGGATTTTTGTATAAGGTGAGAGATAGAAATCTAGTTTCAATCTTCTGCATGTTGATATCCAGTTTTCTCAGCACCATTTCTTCAAAGACTCCCCCACAAAGTTTATTTTTGATCCCTGTGTAAAGAATGAGATATTCATAGTTGTATGTTTGTTTTTGTGTCTTCATTCTATTTCATTTACCTGCATACCTATTTTTGCCAGTTAATGCCAAGCTGCTTTTGTTACTGTGGTGATATAAACATTTTTGCAAACTACACTCTCAATTATTTGTGATTTAAAGTTGAAGTTTTACATCTTTAGTGAATTTAAATAGAATCTTTTATTCTGAGGAATCTATATAATCCTCAGATTCTATATTAGTGTCTAACTAGTTTCTCATGAAAGTGAATATGTTAGATTTCTTTTTTTCACATTCAGGCTCAATAAAGATAGTGAAAGGTGTAGAGAATTGGTTCTATGGCCTGGGCTGGTACCCTGTCTACCCCATTGGGTGACTTTGCACAAGTAACACAACCTCTCTAGCTTCAGTGGACTCAACTGCTAAAACAGAAATACAAAGTTGTAAGGATTAAATGAGTTAATTAATGCATACTTATTGTGTGCAATGCCTGAGGACTAAATAAATGCCCTTTAAATATTAATAATTATTCTTGATTTTATTATATT